TAGGTAGAGATGGTGCCACTGAATCTTCGGTCATTCTAAAATTAAATAAAAATAATTAATAAACTAGAGGTTAAAAAAAAATCCGAAAATTTTGAAATTTGTTTGAACCGTATAAGTGAACTTTAAAAATAAAATTTTTGGTACGGAACCCAGAAAAATTGTAACTAAATTTGTAAGATATTTTGAATATCTATAAAATAACTGATAATTTGATGTGCCTATATCTAATGATTATTTTAGACCGCCGATTATCATTTTTTCAATATTTTTCTCTGTATCTCCAAAACCGATGGACTTGCTTTTCTAAAAATCTAATCAATTTTTCATTTTGCCAATACAACTAAACTGTTTTCTGAATCATTCAAATCGGGCGCTCCGTTACCTCAAAAACTGAAATACCATTTTTGGCACTTTTTGTCCCGTATCTTCGAAACGGCTGAACCTGTCTTCGCCAAAAACTAACCAGCACGTCTCCCCATTAGTAGAAATCGAAAGTTTTTTTAATCATTCAAATCGGTCGATCGATGCGCCCGAAATCGTGGACGAAGAATTGTATCCAAACATACATACATACACACACACCCATTTGTTCTGAGAAGCATCAATTATGCACCATTTTTTGACTGATCTGGAAAGGAAGACATTCTTCATTGGGCAAAACAAAACAGTCTAATGCTTTTTTATGAATATGCTGTAATATATTTCCTATCTTCCCAGTTTATCAAAAGGCAACATAATGGTTGTCCATCTCTTTGTGTTTTTTTACTGTATGATAATAAGTATGTTATGAGATTTTGCGGCAGTGCCCACAGAGACACCATTTTTACTTGAAAACATTTTTGGTTCTTTCTGTCACTATCACTACTGCTTCAAATCAGGTTGTCGTAAACCGTAATTAAATCTGGAAAGATCTGATTACAAGGCCAAAGCTTCTATCACTTAGGCACTATTTTTTTGGCATTCTTTATTGGGCAAAACAAAACATTTGGTATATTTGCTAGTTCACAGTTTATTAAAAGGCAACGTAATGGTTGTCCTCATCTTTGTGATATTTTACTTTATGATAAAAAGTATGTTAAGAGGTATAGGGGCAGTGTCCAAAGTCACCATTTTCACTTCTAAACATATTTGGCTTAAAATCAGGTTTTCCTTAACGATAATGGAACCTGGAAATATGTGATTACAAGGCCAAAGCTTCTATCAATTAGGCACTATTTTTTGACAAAGCTAAGAATGAAGACATGTTCATTGGGAAAAACAGAACATTTTTCCAAACAGTCTAATCTAATGCTTTTTTATGAAGGTCTCAGATGGAAATCAAAACTTTTTTCAAAAAAAAAATCTAGTATTTTTTTGCGTAGAATTTATGAGGCAAGTTTGAAGTATGGGCTTTCTCGTGGATAAACGACTGATTTGAACCAGAAATCGATTCCACTTCGACCAGCCTGTTGTCAAGCTGTACTGACATCAATTTTCATTTGGAAATATAGATAGCAACATGCTTCCAAGTGAAAATAGTCCTTACCCGGCATTACTGCATCAATAAAAATACGTGGTAATAATATATCATACAGAGATGTGACAACTGTTTGGGTTGCCATCTGTCGAATAGGCTAGTATTAAGTCAAATCAGCACAACAGCTTAAAGGACTATTAAGTTTTGATTACTGTTCAAATATTATAAAAAAGAATTAAGTTTTATCTTTTCTTCCTTACCTGAATACTACCAATTCGACTTCTTCCAACTGGTTCACTCTGCAAAGACCGTGCATACTTAGGAATCGTATATTCTGTATTGTAGTAATCACCAAAAGTCCTATGTTGTGGATTTCGATCAGTATTATGTGGTATAATTGTCAGACTTGGTCGTGGTATGTGCCAATCCATTCCTTATAATCCTTGGGAATCTGATTGATTTTTTGAATTGCCTTTTTGTGATTGTTCCACTGAGTTGTATTGGATAAACTCTTTGGTAGCTAGTATCCTGAAAATGTAATAAAAATGTAGAATGGATGTATATTGGTAAGGATAAAAGAATCAAAATCATTAAATTTAGCTTAATTTATAAAGCTTATTAGCATTTTAATCCAGAGTTCTAATTACTGAAACTCTTGATCAAATTAAAATTTTATTTAGAGGGATTAAGACATCATTTAAGACGAAGATCATAACAGTACTTTATATTTGAAGGAATAATTGTTAATTGGTTTAATTTGACTTAAATTTGACCTAATTTTAACTTCATCATAGGGCAAAATGAATCTGCAATGTTCTTTTAATTGGAGGTACAATAGCATATATATAATTTTAATTACCGCTTTATAATGTATTGTTGAAATAATCTAATTATTCTAATTGATTTCATTAATTTAATTTAATTACAATACACGTCGAAGCTAATTGTGGTTACATAATACTATTGTAGAAGGTGCTGTATGAATTGAATTCCATTGTGTATTTTACTTTTTCATTATCCAAAGCAGAATATTTCAAGGCGACAAAATTAATCTTGTGTAATAATTATTATATCTGCAATTTTAATAGACAAATTTAACCTATACTCAATAATACAATTTCAAAATTACTAAAATATATCTAATTTTTTTTTAATTTTCCGAATTCACAAAATTTAAATGAAGAGAAATTATATTATTTAAATTATGAATCAATTAAATATTGAGTGGAAAAATCATAACTAGGTGTAAGTGGCCCTATATATACATGAATATATAAAGATATATATACGAGGTGTGTTCAAAAAGTACCCGGAATTACTAATAATTAAATTTCGCGGGTCTGGAGTGTCTGATTGTCAAAATTTTTTTTTTATTGTGTTGGTATACATGCCCCTAAAGTATGATGAAATTTTCAGCTATATTCACTGTTTACTTTGTCTGTGGTAGTCGCTAAGGTTCGACGTGTTTTTCTGAGCTCGGCGATTTTTACAATGGAAAAATTGAAAAGTCAAAGAATTTGTTTTAAATTTTGCGTAAAAAATGAAATAAAGTGTTGCAAAGTGCAAAAATTCACCAGATATGGCTCCGTGTGACTTTTTCCTATTCCCAAAGTTGAAGAGACCCATGAAAGGACGGCGGTTTTCCTCGATTGAAGAAAATCGCTGAGAGTGCTCAAGGACATATCAAAAAGTGAATATCAAGGGTGCTTCGAAAATTGGAAAAAACGCTGGCATAAGTGTATTATATCTGGGGGGGACTACTTTGAAGGGGACCACATTAATGTAGACGAATAAATAAATATTTTTTTGAAAATTCCGGGTACTTTTTGAACAGACCTCGTATATATATATATATATATATATATATATATATCCAGTTGCACCTTATTTTCCTCATTTACCTTGCAATACATTTGCAAATCTAGTACACATTTATATTAATTTATATTTTATCAGGTGTACTTGAAAGAAATTATGTTGAATTACAAGGATTATGCAAAATTAAAATATATATTATTTTTATGTTAATTAAAATATAAAGTTTGTAAATTATTATATTATAAAATAATTTATTCTTCATATATAGATTGCATACTTATAGATTATAGAGAGTTGTTCAATACCTATTATTAATAATTTTTTTGATTTGCAGTTTAAGAATTAAAAAAATCGATAAAAAATTTAGAAAAATAATTCACAATTATTTAGAATAATTCACAATATTTTTTCCTTGAAAAAACCTATATAAATATTATATTTTATAATAATTATTATACAAATTTTGTTATATATTTTGTTATATATACATGCAATTAAGATTAATATTATACAAATACTTCAATAACTTGTTATCAACTTATTACTTATTAAATACGGAATTATTAAAATGCTTTTTAATTAAATATACCTAAAGCAATACATTATTCTTGTGATGATAGAATCAATTTTATATTTAATTCTAAGTCACTTCGAATATAAAAAAAATATATAAACAATTTTCACACGCGAATAAGTGCTTTATTTCAACTTCCCGGAGGATCGAAATGAATTTTTTTCATATATTTTTTTGTTCCAAAGGTTTTGGTATTTCTTTAAAAAAAATGGATGTATGTGTGTGTATGTGTATGTATGTGCGGATACACTTTTTGTGACGTTTTCGAGAGCACAGATCAACCGATTTGAGTGATTCAAAACCATTCGATTTCTATTGATGTGTCTTTTCGAGCAAAAAGTTCAAAAATTGTCTATTTGGTTTTGTTTTTGAGAGCACGGAGCAGATTGGAATAAATCTTACTTGTATTGACGGCTAAAATTTTGGGATGATATAACCAGTGGTTATGGAAGAAAAGAAAAATGAAAAAAAGCCATTTGGTAGTCAAAAATGATGATTACCTTAAGGCACTATGCCTTGCATCACTAGTTAATTATAATATTACTGTGTTGCATCAGCGAATGTTAATTTAATTTACTTTAATGGAGATTTCACGAAACAAATTGTATATTTTTTTGCTTTAAAAAGCAACAAAAGCAGTTTTATTTATTTATATATATTTTTTTGATAGCACAGAGTAGCTCCAGAACGGCTTAAATAAATTAATAATACAATTATTATCCAAGATCAATACTTTTAAAACCCACTTCATGCCTCGAGCATTTATGCATTGCCAAATTCCATTATTTAAATAATTTAAACTTATATAATTGGTCCGAAATCATAAATTTTGTTGAAATAAATAATGAGGCGCTAATAATCCACATAATAACTACAATACGGTATAAGGTACTTATTATTTTAAATTGATCTTTTAAATGTAAAACCTTGACATAAACTTTGGTAAAATTAGCAGAAGCATGTTATTTATATTAAACTGGAATCCAGATAAATCAATCTTGGAATCTGGAAGTTAACTAATTACGTTGTTATATGTTGCAAGTGGATTGTTTGTTTGTATAATTAGGCAATTTTAACTTCAATTAACTGTTTCTGTCATATAATTAGGTAGATATTAATGATATTGATTCTTTTTCAGAGGCAGACTAAATATGGGCGAAAGATGTGGAGATTTTCAAAGAAAATGTTTTATTTGCTGCTGGTTCTATCCAGAATCAAGAGGTAGGTGATAGTAATAATAATTAACACATTACCAGTATTAATTTTGCACAGTTTATTGATATTATGAATGTAGTTTCTTCACTATTTACTTTGCATAAGAATGTTTGCATTAATAAATTAAAATTACCTTTTATAAATTAATATTAAAAGTTACTGGCGCGGTTTGATGAGATATTTTTATAGAAGCAGCTCATTTTCTAGGAACGATTTAGATCAAAGGCCTAATAACCAATATAAAGATTCAACTTTTTTTCGCCATCTCGGTATGAAGAAGTGTGATAGTTCTGTTAAAACAGAAAAAATACTTTTTTATAGCTGTTAGCATTTTTTTCTTATATGAATCCAATTCAATTTCTTATCCAAGAGATATCCTGGAGATACTTCACAGTGTCAGATTCTGATACGATTTTATCTTTTATTATTTTTAAGGGCACTTATCTTTCTAAATTTTCTGTCTAGTCTTGTTTCGTTAATTCTCATTCTAATTAGTGTTGTGCCCATGTTCCAATCTATGGTGTTAAGGATTTGTCCTAGATATGATTAGATTTATATTAGATGCTGATACTTGTTGATCATCAGCAAATGTTTAAATCAGTTTTTCAGATGAAGTTTATACGAGTTAGGTTGCTTTATATTATTGTTTTTGCATATATTGAAACTTTTCCAAGAACGAACTATTTCATAATATTTATGGTTTTTAAACATCCATTCACTCTGTATGGATTAAAAGATTTTCTTGGGTAATCCAAAAGCCTATTATTAAGCCACCGTTAGATGAAGATTTATTAATTAAGAGATTTTGCCTTAAGAATCATAATTATTCACATAAGCCAATTTTTCGCTATAATAACAATATTAAAATTATGAATAATATGAATCAGTTATATTTCGTGATTTTAGAAATGATTCTTTTGGAATTATATTTGCAATATACATGCTGACTTCTAGCACCCCAATAATAGGAGTTTATTTCCATTCTTGCTAAATGTATTAAATTATGCCTGATGACAAGTCAATGGTGGTGGTTCACATTTTTGAGATATATAACGTAAATAATTTTATGTAGACCAATATTTGAGAATTTACAAGTCATTTATATTTCATCATTGTAATATGTCAGTAACATATCATAATCGTAGGCAATTGCGGATATCCGCGTTAAATACCAATAATGAAAAAACTGATTCATAAACTCAGTTCATATGCAAAAAATATGCAAATATATATATATATATATATATATATATATATATATACTCGTATATATATCTTATAAAACTACACGTTGTAGCTCAGGGACTAATACTTAATTTAGCCAATACATATATTTAGAAATAATACAAGCACATAGATATGACATAAGCATGTACAAATAATACAGGTGTATATGATTGCATATATATATATATATATATATATATATATGTATATATATATATATATTCCTGAATATTATGATTTGTCCTTGTTCGATGTACTTAACATTAGTTGCATTCACTTCAAATATATCTTACGCTCACAAATATATATATATATATATATATATATATATATATATATATAATTGAAACAATTAATTAAATATTGACAATTATTTTTTTACACGTTTTGACTCGAGATGTGTATCATCATTTAGCTATAAATTAAACAAAGCAATGAATGAATACGGTAACAATAAAATAATTCATAAATTTAATTAATATAAATTAGTAGTACTAACCAGGAAAAAAATTAAAATATAAAATGATGTAAACAAATGTGCAATCGCACACATTTTAATTCAATTTATAGGGCTCATGACACACATAACATTAATTAATAAATTAGGATTAAATTATTTTATTTAAAAAATATTTGCTAAATTTGTATTGACGACACAAAACTTTTAACATTTTCAAAGTATATAAGACGAATACCGATCCTAATTGCTATTGCTTGGGTGGAGTGACTAGGGCGGATGCCGGGCAAGCCATTATGACGTGCAAAAATTGGAAAAGGGTAGGCAAGAACTATGGAGGGAGACAGTGAGGCAAAAAATATCCAAACTCTAAATCACGTTTAAATTGAATTTAACTTTTAAATTAATTTAACTAAAATTGTACTTGCTGTTCATTAGATGTAAAAATTTTGTATAATATTAAAAAAAAATCGCGAGGCAACATTTTCCATATTTTTCTAATTCTAAATATCTTGTCCATATTATCTAAAATCGAAATTGATGAATATATAGTAATTATAGTCATAAATAGTAAAGAATGCAATTTATTCTTTTTTTGTCATTTTTTATAATTCAAGGTATAAATAGATATCTGGCATAAAGCAAATCATTTTTTTATAAAGCGGCCTTAGCTTTTTTACCTACTATTTTAAAATTTATACTTGTTCATGATTATTGCACTTTTAATGAAAACAAATACTAATATTGTACAGTAAATTCCAATAAATTTTGAGGCTTCACAGTAAAAGTACAGTATATTTTATTCATTAAACGTGGAACATAAATTTAAAATAATCGCTATATAAATTTACCTAACAAGATAATTAAATAAAAAGACATTATACAAGTCTTTTATAAAATTCTGAAGTCATTCTATAGATCTTTTTTAATGGAGGTATCCTGACTAATATAATTCGTTTTTATAAATAATTAAAACAAAGTGCTTAAATTGCATAAGTTAAAAATCCATTTATCTTATTGAAGATATAAAGGTATTTATTTTAGTGAATGTATTTTGTTCTTTATCAATTGCAGTATCATATATCACATTGATTTTGACTTTAAATTGTGAAATATGGAATGTCGAAAACCCGTCAATGATTTTAAATCGGTTTATAACAAATTTAGAAAGTAAAGCGAAAAAAATATTTGATTAATCATATTAAATTAATGTTTTACTAAGGTAAACAAAATTTAAGTTATGGTCGGTTGAGGTAGGTCAGTATTTTACTCCAAACGAAAAATGCAATAATTTTCTTTGCAAACTTTAGATAAATAAAATCATAAATAATGTTTGCTATTGCAAAAAGCAATTAGGCTATATAATATAAATAATGCTATTTATTAATAACCCCTGATTTGTGGACCACGATTGGATTCCAATGCTTCAAATAGCTTTATATGTATATGTATAACAACATTCTAGCAACTTATTACATTTGTATAAAAATACAATATGCAAATTTATATTAGCATTCTTATGACTCGTATACAAATATATATATATATATATATATATATATACATATAGATGTTTGTATATACGAGTATTTATATTTGTAGATAGATAGATAGATGAGATTGTCAGATAAGTTGAAATAATTAAATGTTCAATCTCGGTTCATTTCAACTTAGATCAATTATTTACATATTAATTTGCATTATTATAATAGCCTATTGTATGAATAATGAAATAGTCTTCCGCAAATCATACTCAGAATTATTATTTGTAACAAAGTTGTTATTAATAAGTTATTTTTAAAAATCATTTAAGATAGATCTCCCAATAAAAACAAATGTTTTATGAAAGTACATATTTTTGGAATGAGATATTTTCCATTTTCATATTTTCGGTTCAGTCTTCAACTATTAAGAGTGAAATCGTGATAATAAATCACGAAATTATTTTTCTGGTCAAGAATGTGGTACTTTTTACTTTATTATTTAATAATTATTATTTATATTAAAAGAAAATTAAATCTATTCCATTTTTATGCTTTCTAGTCTAGTTTTCGATCTTCATTAGAAAATAAGAATGTTTTTAAATATAGAAACAGAATAAGGCAAAGAATATTAGTTTTTATAATACTACAAAATATTGTAAAAATTCTATAATCCTGATTAAATTCATTTAATGAGACTTATCAACACACTTCAGTACATTTTTTTTCAGAGTGCATCTCAAAATTTTAAATTCATAGTTCAACAAAAAGTCTTAAAAACTTGGGGCAATTTTGGTATTTTATTTTATTGTGATCCCCTAAAATGTTTACTCACGGTTACTGTTCCAAAAATATTAAATTTATAGAATTAAGAATAAAAATTACAGATTTAAGTAAGTAAGCTAAGTAAGTACAAGTAATTGTTTAAATTTTTTCCTGCTGTGCATTTTTATTGTTAAAAACGTTATGTTTTATAATGAAGACCCACTAAATAAAAAACATAAAAATGAAATACGAGTATATCAAACTTTTTCATCATATTAATAATAGTTATTAAATAAATTTTCTTAATATATTTTATCTTAGTATATTATTGAATTGAGAATATTACTAGGCTGTAAATCGACTAAAAATTTGAATTAATACTTTTAATTAGTGCGTAATTTCTTTTTAAATGGGATTATTAATTCAAATTTACCTTTAGACAAGTTGCATAAACTTCTTTATGTGTATAAATAATAAATTTAAATACAAGAATTGAGATTTAGTTACATTTAAAATTGTGATGGTTATTTTTTTTTAAATTTTGACACTGCCTTTTATTCCATATATTTTCATAATTGTACCAGATTTCGTAGGCCTATAGTATTTTAGGAAGGTCGTTAGGACTTTAAATTATTAATCATCATATAAGTAAAGGCAGTCATTTGAATGAACTTTATTTTTATTAATAACTGGAAGATTTTACAAAAAATATTTAGCAGTTTTATCATAAATTTTTAAAAAAGTCATTTGCACCCTATATCATGAGTGTAGCAATATTTTGTTTTTACAACAATCAGTTTGGAAGAAACATGCTGGCCGATCTTTAATTACCAAAAATTAATCAGCAATTAATTCATTATTTATTATAGAACTTTATTATTGATAATTAATTAATTAATTATCAAGTAATTTTCTTCGAATAGTTTTAAATTTTCAAATTCCGGATTTTTAGGCGAAAACGTGAGGAAAATTTTTGCACTTCTCTACTAATTCTGAGGAAACGGCTCGACTGATCATCCCGTAAGACTAATCATCGCTAGCTTTTACATTTTTTAAATTGGTTAGCCATTTTTGAG